TGTTGAATCTAAAACTAGCATGCTGTTGTCTTGTAATCCTCTCATCCGTGGATCATGAATGACTTTTCTTTTTGGAGATTTCTGAACACTTTCAGTAGTGTGGATAAACAGAAATAATATTTCAAGCGTCTTCACAATTGGAGAAATACAAAAGAATAAGTAATTAACAGTAATATATTTCTTTTATGCTGTATATATTATTTCGTTTAACACGTTTATTTATCATCGCTCAGTTGTGTCCCTGTCTTTGGGCAGAGTGAGATCAGGGGCGGCTCTGACAAAAAACAGAATCGCAACTGAGGAGAATTATACTGAGATGTGTTCCCCGGCTCTGAGGAACATTTGCTCTAGGCGGCTCCCCGACATTGCACCAGGGAGATCGATACTTGCGGGGTCTCGGGCAATTTATGTTCCTAGCCTGGGTGTATGCGTCGGTCTCCCAACATTAAACCAATCTTGTGTCACAACCTGACCTCGTGTGGTGTTGAGGAATTACAAATTACTATAAAGTAGAATTGGTGCCTTTTAACCCCACGATTTATAGGAGAAGTGAGTTCTGTTTTCGCATTTATTCATATAGATGATAATAAAATCTGCTTGTTGAAGCATTTTATACTTTGTCTCCTGTTGGTGTGTACGCGACCCATTTGTTTTAACACGTGGCATTTCTGAATATTTTGATATAAGTTTACCATTTTTCAGGGAGAGAAAAGAGAAACGTATTCTATCGACGTGACGTGTTAGGTGCTGTCACGACAGAAAAAAACAAACACACACACAATCTGATATTATCATCAGAGTTACCTGATGAAATACTATTACAAAAAGTTTGAATATGATTATGTATATTTAGTGGCATATCAACATCTTATGGGTCATTTAATGCTGAAATTTAATTTTCTTCGAAGAATTAATTATTTCTTCATAAAAAAAAATATTGCTGATAATTCTTTTTACTATGAATATATATTGCAGGTATGTTTACGATGGAAACATTTTGCTGGTAATTTTCCATACCTTTAAGGTGTTTTCACCCCAGTTTGATGTTTAACAATTAGCTTATACCTGGGATCTTAACATGAGCTACCACCCGGGTCACGGGTCTTGTTGCAGGATGAAGTGTATCGCCATACCGAGGACAGTGTTGTCTACAGTTTTGTACAGTTTCTCGGCTACTCTATAAGCATAGAAATGTAGGCAACCAAAATAATGACCGACTTCATTTAGCATCAGAAGATTATCGATCTCCAAGAGAATCGGTCCGAACCATTTTTTAGTTTTGGCCCATGAAGAAGATTCTGAAACAATGAAAATGGCAAACGCCAAGTGTGACCAAAAAGGCAACCAAGAAGTTTCGACGGGACAGGTAATAATCCGTTTATTCAAATATGAAATATGATGATTGAGAATAATCGACATCTATATTTAGGTTTATACGTTCAAAGTTTGGGAACTCTGCGTGCTTCTACGTTTACATCAGTTTTAAATAACGGTAAACAGACATTCATTTTTTTATAAACCCTAAGATTAAGTAAGCTTTTGATGTCTATGCAGTGTTATTAATTATGAATTAAGTATACTTTTCGAAATTATATCCATCTTTAATAATAATAAAGGAAGTGATTTATATCTGAGACTTCTAATCTTCTCTAGTTAAATATCTAACACCGAATAAATATAATTCTTGTCAATAAAATATCTGTGTAGAGATTTCTCTTGAGAAAAGGTGAAATAACTCATACCGTCATCTTTTCATCTTTTCACTGACGGAACAATAAAGAAATGAGAAAAGACATAGACAATAATTGTAACATAATTTTGTTGGTTTCTCTAGGGAGCTAATGTAGCTATTGGAAAGAGGTTTGATAAAATGCTGACACGGCCTGAGCTATGACGAAAGGTTCTTATAAATATATATTATAGGAATTTCTGTCTGAATGTGTGAGACGAGTAATTAATATCATTGTCGACGGGTTACCCTCCAAAGAATGAACGACAGATGTATCGAACAATCAAGACATAATTGTACATTGTGCCAGTATTCTAAGACTATCTATTATAATTACGTTGATAATTAATTTTATTATCATATTGAAGTACGACTCGTACCTCGTTCCTTAGATATTAATCCGACATGGGAAACTGCCAGAGAAAACAACACAGTTATATTTCTCTCCTGCTGGTATACTTTTCTTTTTTTTGGAGAGGTCGGATGATTACACTTCTGCTTTCAGAAGAGTTTAAGAAATAAGTTAAACAAATGTATGAATAATATTCGATCATTTAAACTAGCGTAACTGTCATTTGAAGACCAAATTAGATAGGGCCGGTATTCATCAATTTTCACATGATTCCAAAAGTTGAAAATGTTTGCCGAACTGCTAATGAAGATTTCAGACAATTCATAAGTGCCTCTTTTAGTTTGGAATTCAGAATTTCGGCACGAAACGTATTTCCAAAAAGACTGTCACTCGTTTGCTCAAAGAAAATGAAAAAATAAGAACAGTTTTATTATGGGAATTGATAATCTTCAATATCTTATTTTTGTAGGAATATCTAATTTTGATTATTCTTCTATTGAAAACTTGCCTTACCGTTTGGTTTATTTAAAAATATTTATTTTTATGAACTCTTCACCAAAGTTCATTTTGATAACCTACAAAAGTGGGAGGCTGAAGCATATTATATTTCTTTTTCTATTTATTGGCTTATTATTTTAACTTTATTTGCATTAGCGTGACTTATGATGTTTGAGTATGAAAGCTTGATCTTAAAGCCACTTTTTGGAGTGCCTTCTCGTACAGTCCTTTGTTTTTTATTAAATACATATTTATTGGAGGAGAGTTTATTAATCCTAGTAACAACAGTGTTTGGTATTTGTCCTAAGATAGTTCGGAGTTTCATGATATTCTTGAGAAGCTTTTAAAGAAAAATATATATATATATATATATATATATATATATATATATTCAAATAAATCTACCCATTAAATAACACACACACACACATATATATATATATACACACACACACACACACACACACACACATATATATATATATATATATATATATATATATATATATATATATATATATATATATAAATATATATATAACCCAATAAATAGTTATAGTTATTGTCGATTTGAAAAAAAGATCCATTATTTACTTAAGTTACTTTGTTTAATTTTCCGTTAAAATAATAACAAATGAGTAATCGGATATAGACACCAACGCTAATAATGAGAGAAGCTAATTTCTTAAAAAGAATAATTATGTTGTCTCAAATATATTCCTGGCCGAAGCAGGAACGCCACACCGAAATGTAAAACAATTGGATTCTTTTCAGAGACATTTTCTTTCTTATGATTGATAGGGATCAGTTTAACAACATACACTCAAATTTATTCTGTTAAATAACGTTTATTGTAAAAGGAAATATTGTCGTTTAAAAAATCCAGTATATCTTTCAATAAATTACTCTATAATAATTGATTCATGGCTTTTGTAACTATACCAAATACACGCAGACTGAGGCAGAAATTTAAAGTTGACAATCCAGATTACATCTCAAATCCTCTTCCTTAGTTCGTTCCAGTAAATATCCAAAATCACACATCCAATGAATAGACAGCAACAAAATATATATTCTCTTGTTTGTAATATGGTGGGATATTTTTTTTTAATACGGTGAGATATATTTTATGGACGTGAAAAAGGAGATCTTCTCATACATCCATCATTTTATATCATTATTAATGAAAAGATAAAATAGACGCGAGAAAAACCTTATCGAATCTCTTACACAGAAGATTTCGATATTCTTGAGTTCCGTGTCAATGAAGAAAACCAAAATTGACAACCGGACACGAAAAAAAAAAAAAAAAAAAATGGAAAGGTAGAAAGATATTTTTCTTCATCTGGCTAATCCAAATCTACGTCGAAATCCGAAGACAAAAATAAAATTGAAAGAGATGATTAAGAAAAACTCTGAAATGAAATTCGCATATTTTAAAATATAGATATCTTCTTCGCCTTGTCAACTGAAGTAAGTTTATAAAAACAGATGCGTTATAAAGTATTTTGGGTTTTATCTTTTATGCAACATCTGAAAAACATTATGTGATATTTCATTTTATCTAAATTCTCGAAAGCCGTTTACATGCGTTGGAAAATATTAAACGATACAAAAACTGCAGTTGATTTATATCCAGAAAATAATTTTTGATACGAATAATTCTTGAGAGATAATTGTTTGATGATACAAGTCCTACAAATAATCCATACATAAAGGGAAAATGATGAATTCCTTCCATTCCCATGGCTATTTAAGACGGAAGAAAACAATTTTCTGCAGAAGGAACACTTGTAGGTTGATTGATTGATTGACTGATTGATTTGGATTTTGGTGGCTTATCAATCTCTTCATGGTATTCAGAAAATACTTTTAGATTTCTTTTAGATTGTAATTTTTTCGGATCATTAATCCTACTATTTAACCCATAATTAGGGGGAGTAGCGTTGCATGCATACCTTTCACAAGCATATTTGCGCATCAATGAATTTAACAAACAAGACAAGAATTAGAACCCAGCGCTCGGATTTGCAATTCTGAGAAATTATCAATTATAACAAGGCGCACATCCATTCTTACAGGATTTGGTATTCCAAAACGATGCTAACAAAACTAGACTTTTCTTAACTTCTATGAAGTGGTGTTTGAACAGGATGTGACCACAGGCCTAGAATCTGTAAGTTTATGGGTATTCATGATTTCATGCGGTGGAAGCAATGTTTATCGTCAGATCTGCATTTGCTGGCGGACGAAATGGGAATGGACTCGATCAGCCCATATCAGCGGACGAAATGGGAGTGGATTCGATCAGCCCATAATGTCGGACGAAATAGGAGTAGTCTCGATCAGCCGATATCGGCGGACGAAATGGGAATGTTTTCGATCAGCAAACAATGGCGGACGAAATGGGAATGATCTCGATCAGCCCATAATGTCGGACGAAATGGGAGTAGTCTCGATCAGCCCATATCGGCGGACGAAATGGTGTTGGTCTCGATCAGCCCATAATGCGGACGAAATGGGATGGTCTCGATCAGCCCATAATGGCGGACGAAATCGGGGTCTGATAAGCCCATAATGGCGACGAAATGGAGTGGTCCCAGCCCAAATAGCGGACGAAATGGGGATGGTCTCGATCAGCCCATAATGGCGGACGAAATGGGATGGTCTCGATCAGCCCAAATCGGCGGACGAAATGGTGATGGTCTCGATCAGCCCATAAATGGCGGACGAAATGGGATGGTCTCAGGATCATGGCCCGAAAATGGGATGGTCTCGATCAGCCCATAATGTCGGACGAAATGGTGATGGTCTCGATCAGCCCATAAGAGCGGACGAAATGGGGATGGTCTTGATCAGCTTATAATGGCGGACGAAATGGGGATGGTCTCGATCAGCCCATAATGGCGGACGGATCAGCCCAAATGGTGGATGGTCTCGATCAGCCCATAAGAGGGGGACGAAATGGGGATGGTCTCGATCAACACATATCGGCGGGACGTAATAGGCATGGTTTCGAATAATGGCGGACGAAATGGGATGGTCTCGATCAGCCCATAATGGCGGACGAAATGGGATGGTCTCGATCAGCCCATATCGGCGGACGAAATGGGGATGGTCTCGATCAGACGGACGAAATGGAAATGTTCTCGGCACTTATCAGCGAACGAAATGGGGATGGTCGATCAGCCCATAATGGCGAGCCCGATCAGCCGATATCGGCGGACGAAATGGGAATGGTTTCGATCAGCAAACAATGGCGGACGAAACATAATCAGCCCCATAATGTCGGACGAAATGGAGTGGTCTCGATCAGCCCATATCGGCGGACGAAATGGTGTTGGTCTCGATCAGCCCATAATGCCGAACGAAATGGGGATGGTCTCGATCAGCCCATAATGGCGGACGAAATCGGAGTGGTCTCGATAAGCCCATAATGGCGGACGAAATCGGAGTGGTCTCGATCAGCCCAAATAGCGGACGAAATGGGGATGGTCTCGATCAGCCCATAATGGCGACCGAAATGGGAGTGGTCTCGATCAGCCCATATCGGCGGACGAAATGGTGATGGTCTCGATCAGCCCATAAGAAGGGACGAAATGGGGATGGTCTTGATCAGGTCATAATGGCGGACGAAATGGGGATGGTCTCGATCAGCCCATAATGTCGGACGAAATGGTGATGGTCTCGATCAGCCCATAAGAGCGGACGAAATGGGGATGGTCTTGTCTTATAATGGCGGACGAAATGGGGATGGTCTCGATCAGCCCATATCGGCGAAATGGGGACGCCCAAATGGAAATGGCAGTGGTCTCGATCAGCCCATATCGGGGGATGAAATGGGAGTGGTCTCGATCAACACATATCGGCGGACGTAATAGGCATGGTTTCGATCAGCCCATAATGGCGGACGAAATCTGAGTGGTCTCGATCAGCCCATAATGGCGAACGAAATGGGAGTGGTCTCGAGCAGCCCATATCGGCGGACGAAATGGGAGTGGTCTCGATCAGCCCATATCGGCGGACGAAATGGAAATGTTCTCGATCAGCACTTATCAGCGAACGAAATGGGGATGGTTTCGATCAGCCCATAATGGCGAGCGAAATGGGAGTGGTCTCGATCAGCCCATATCGGCGGACGAAATGGAAGGGCCTCGACGATCGGCGGATGGGGATGGTCTCGATCATGCAGATATCGGCGGACGAAATATCGGGATGGTCTCAATCAGCCCATAATGGCGAACGAAATTGGAGTGGTCTCGATCAGCCCATAAAAGCGGACGAAATGGGGATGGTCTCGATCTGCTCATAATGGCGGACGAAATCTGAGTAGTCTCGATCAGCCCATATCGGCGGAAGAAATGGGAGTGGTCTGGATCAGCCCATATCGGCGGACGAAATGGGGATGGTTTCGATCAGCCCATAATGGCGAACGAAATGGGGATGGTTTACATTCACTTACACGAAAATAATCTGCGGAAATTAATGAATTAATCTCCCTCCCTTTGCTAGGGATTAAATTGTAAAACTTGTATCTGTTAAATAATTTTTATTATATAAACCAGAATTATTTACATTGTTCAGAGTGTTGTCCTAATCTTTATTGTCATATTCACGACGTTTCGGCCGTTGTATGCTTGGGCTTTCTTTTGATTTTTTTTTGTCAAGTAGAATATTTCCTACATGAAAAGACATGAAAAAAAACTCCTACATCAAGAGGAGTAGCAGCAGTAGTTTTTGCTGAAAACAATTAGTCATTCACGGCTAAATATGCTCTTCCCTAGTTTCTATTCTACATTATGTTTCCAAGACCAAAAGCTAGTAAACTAGTTAAACCAATTCTGTTTTTCTACTGTTGGTCTTGATAACTCAGTTACAAGATTTTTGATTGCTTAACCGGGCCAGTGGATAATGGCGTTGGTTGAAGCAATCCAGTAACATGACCCAAAGAGTTGTGAGTTCAATACCTAGCCACAACAGAGGTGAACAAAAAAATTGTAGAATTGAGATATTAATGGGCAATAACTGAGATACCCAGAAAAATCATGTAGAAATATCAGGTCATCCCATAAGTTCTGTCCGAATTTTGAATAAAGAAAACATGTGACTAAATGTTACATTTAATTACAGATTCAATCAACAATGTATTTTCCCTGATTATCTATGACTTCCTTCCATCTATTAACAAGCTTACTAATTCCATTACTGCAAAATTCTTTTGGCTTTGATTCGAAGAACTCACAAATGCCAGTTTTAACCTCTTCCTGTGTTACAAAAGCTGTTTCTTCCAAATGATTCTGTAAGCTACGAAACAAATGGTAGTCTGAAGGAGCAAGATCGGGAGAATAAGGTGGATGAGGAATTTTCTCCTAACCAAGTTTTTCGATCATTTGTGACGTGATTCTTGCTGTGTGGGGTCGCGCATTGTCCTGATGAAACATCACCCCTTGTAGATTCACTAGAGCAGGTCTTTTTTCCTCAAAGCTTGGTTCAAACGCTCTAATTGCTGACAGTATATTTGAGCATTAATTGTTGCATTAGGTTGTAAGAATTCAAAGTGGATTATTCCTTGGCGATCCCACCAGATTGAAAGAAGAACCTTTTGCCCATGAAGTTCTCTTCTCGGCTGTGGATGGGGTCCTTCCCCTTTACTAAGCCACTGTCTACGACGCTTAACATTTCGATAAAAGATCCATTTTTCGTCGCCAGTCACAAGTCTATCCAAAAAAGGTGAAACACTTTGGCGAGAATAGAGAGAAGAGCAGATGTCAACTCGGGATTTGAGGTTGTTTTCAGACAATTCATGAGGCACCCATTTTCCAAGTGTAGGAACTTTTCCAAGTTGTTGAAGATGACGATGAACAGTTGTATGGTTTGAAGTGAGAACCACTGCCAATTCCTCAACTGATAAAGTAGGATTTTCTTCAAGTGCTGCTTCAAGAAGCTTTTCATCAAACTCAACTGGACGTCCGGTTCGATCTTCATCTTCAAGGATGAAATCTCCACCTCTGAATTTTGCAAACCATCTTCTGCAAGTTATTTCATTCACACATTATTCTCCATAAACTGAGTGAATGTTTCTAGTTGCTTCGGCTGTTGAGTTTCCTATCTTGAACTCATAAAGCATTATGTCCCTTACATGATTCTTGGGTACTTCCATGTTAACAGGGTTTTAATCAAACAAAATTTAATTTTATTGTTCTCCGAAATAAAATTTGATCAGTTTAAATACATCTAAACATAAAAATAATGTTCAGCTTCATTAGACATTATAAAATACTCTTTAAATTTCGTTCATTTTAAAAAAGTTAAAATTCGGACAGAACTTATGGGATGACCTGATAGAACAAACATATTGTGGACTAAACAAAGGGCTCAGTTCGAAATTCCAACGTATATCACCTGAAAAAGACCACAGCAGACAAAGGCTGAAACGCAGACATCTTGAATATGAAAATAAAATTGAGGACAACAGTACAAATAAGGTAAATAGTTAAAATCCAAATTGCATTATGGTTTAAATAACCCCCAAAAGTGCTGTTAAGTCGTGAAAAGATCAATCAATCCTTTTGTACAGCACTGGCTTATTTAATATGTTCCACTTTTTTATCTCAAATTTCTCTGCTACCTTCTACCTTTTTTTTGACAGCATATTAGGTTCATTTCTCTTTGACAGCAATTTATGGTAATTTCTTTCGTTTTGTGACAGTATTTTTGGATGAATTCTTCCGTATTCTCCCAAATCTTTTGACTGTCTGATTCCTTGATTCATCATATACTTATTCTATTATTCCCTATTTATTTTCTGCCCGAATATTCTATTGCATTCTTAGCTTTTTTTGACACTCCTTTATGTAGTTTTCTTCAAATATTTTCACATTTTAGAAAGCATCTACCTGTGAATCTTCTCCATATTGAAATCATTTTCTGCTCCTTGCTCATCTTTTTGACAATACTTTCATTTAAATGAGCCCTATGTTGAAAGGACCTATTCGGCGTTTATCTCTTTTTTCAATTATCATTACTGTCGTATTCTTTCTTTTTCCTCATGAAGTTTATAATTGTCACAAGACGTACATATATTTTCGGAAAACGGTGACAAAAACTAATTGATTTATGATGCTATTCATTTGCATTTCTCGTTTGTTAATTAAATCAAGAAATTTCATTAATTTATGGCGTGAATATTAATTCCCTAACTTCTTCAAATACAAGGAAAATATTTATTCAACGTAAAATTGTAAATATTTCGGTTTTCAAAGACAACATTTCCAAACAAAACAACACAACTCTTAATATGTGTATATATATAGGGAAATATTTTTGATTCACACACACACAAACATCTATCTATCTCTCTCTATATATATATTATTTACATTATTTGGACTATTGTCCTCATCCTTGTCGCCATATTTATTACAATGTTTCAGCCGTTGTACGCTACGCCTTCTTCAAGAGGTTGGAATATCAAACCCTTTATTTTGCTCACTGAGGTTGACTGTTCTAGTTCCACGTGCCATGTTTTAATGGATGTAACCTATCAGTTATCTCCTGTTAATTCCCCTCTCCAAGTTCTTCACTGCCTTAACCGGGTATTGAACTCTTTTGGGTCCTGTCACTGTATATAACCAAAGCCTTTATCCACTGTGTGATGTGTTCTTGAGGACAGCTGTGTATGGATTTCTGAGTATTATAAACCTAATGTCTTAGCAACGATTTTTACCAGAGCTCATATTGCAAATTTTGTTATTATTGCTTTTCTCTGGCACTCCTTATTATTGGTTCCCATATGTGCTGATTCCTTAAGTTTACGAATTTTCCAATGGTGTTCTTTGTCTATGATCTCAACATGATCCCACAGAGGGCGATGATCTCCCTTCTCTCTCCATATGTGGTCAGCCACGCCTGATTTTTCTACTTCCCCCCGTGTTACAGCTTTCTGGTGTTCTTGAAGTCTTACCTTGAGGTATCTCGGCTTCAGCCACTTTCTGTTGTATCTCGTGTTTTCGAAATAAATAAGGAACACAAACTATTATATAAGTAATGTGATAGAAGGCTTACTACACGAAGATACACAAAACAATGAATCTAATGCTAACTCTCCTCAACTCCTCTTAACTCTGCTTATTTATATAAATGGACGATTCCATTAATTTATGTCCTATATAAACCTTTCCCACCGCCGAAACTTTCATAGTAATTGTTCTGATGAACATTCCAATATTTTAGCTAGAGTTTATGAACTTAAGCGCAGTACTAGATTTGCGGCTAGGTCTCATCATTTTACAGGTGAAACTGCTAGATGTAACTGGAAATTCTATACTATACTTTTTTGTACTTCTCGCTTGTGGAACTCTGTTCTGCTTTCTTGCTTCACAGAAAACTTTGACCTTCAGAAATATAAATGTTAATCATTATATTTGTGTCTTCATAATACCTGTTTTTTTATTGTCCTGATTCCTTAATAGTATATTTTTCTCATCGTCTCCAATACTCACTAACTCTTTGCGTCTTAGTGGATTTATTTACTGATTGTCTGGGGTATATGGTAACGAGAAAAGTATTCATAGTTGGGGTAAGAATGATCTTAAAGAGAAAAACAACATACCCACGGAAAGAATGATATCCAATTAGAATAAAACCTGTGAACGCATTTACCGTAAATACAAAAAATAATTTAAAATGAAGAATCCACAACATCAGTATAAAAATTTACATATAAATTTAGTATTGTATATAAATTTAGTATTATGTATTTAAATTTAGTATTGTAGTTCAGTATTCTAAACAGCTGAAATACATAGGTGTATGGATCAGTTATTATAAATTTAGTATTGTAGTTTAGTATTCTAAACTGCTGAAATACATAGGCGTATGGATCAGTTATTATAAATTTAGTATTGTAGTTTAGTATTCTAAACAGCTGGAATACATAGGCGTATGGATCAGTTATTATAAATTTAGTATAGGAGATT